TGATTTTCTAAAAGAACTTCCTGTTTGTAATCAGATAATTCTTTACATCTTGGATAATCTCGTAAATATCTCTTCTTAAACTCAGAAAAATCACGTCTCCAATATACTTGATTATTCTTAATTATAATTTCTCCATCTTTACCTTTGTTCAATTCTTTGACAACCTCTGTTAATTCCTCTTTTGTGTATTCTCCTTTATTATATTTTAAATCCCAGATCATGTTCCTAAACTCCTTTTCTAAACCTCTGTGAAATATTAATTCTGTTGTACATAAATCAATATCATCATCCCATTTCCTTTTAAACTCGATAATGAAATCAAGTCTTCTATTGAATTGACCTCAATCTCTATGAACCTCATCCTCACTTCTGTTACGTTGACCAAAATTAAATGATTCTTCTGGAGATCTTCATAATGTCATAAATATATATTTTGCAAGAAAAGGTTTAAACCCTTTACATTTAACTTCAACTTCTGCAGGAGTATCATTCAAATAAGTCACGATATCATCCCATCTAACTACTGTATACCATTCATCCAAAAAGACAATCGATTAATTCTCATATTCATTCTACTATGTACTTCCACTTTTTTGCATCTTCTTTTTTAAGTAAAATTCTAAACAGAATAACGTTTGTATGAGATTTGATTTTCCTGCTCTACCATTACCAAAAAAGTAAAATGTCACTGGTCTCCAAAACCTTTCAACTTTTTTTATTTTTTCTACTACTAAATCTTAATAAATTTTCTTCATAAAATTATAATTATTTGTAAAAGAAACTTTATCTTTATTTTGCTTGAAAACTTCTAAAGGTGTTGATCTATTCAATATCATATTATTTCTTTTAATTCCAGCATTATGCTCTTCAGTTTTCTTTTCAACTAAATCTTCAGAATATTCAGAAAATTCTTTTGGAGGTGGCATGAACTCATATTCACCAAACTCAAATGGACCAGCTAATGCTATCTGTAATTCAAGACCTTCTTCATCAGTACATCTTGCTAAAGTTCTTTTTTCAATATAAGAACTTTCACAAGTATCACAGATTTTTTCACGTATTTGAAAATCATATCTACATTTCTTTTTATATTTTGTTTCTTTACATCGGTTCTACTTTTTTTTACTATAATCTACATTTTGTTGAGAATCTCCATTTAAATATTATGGAAAATTCATTAAATTATGATCAAAAATTTTTTTGGCTGAAGCTACTATTTGACGTTCTTAAACTGAAAATATGCTTGTTCATATAATTTTCCTTTTTCTGTATATTCATATTGTCTAGAACTAAATGTTAATTCAAGATCTTTTAAAATATTAAATTCTTCTTGATTCTTTGGTAATACACGTTTGCATTGTTGATTTGTAGCTTTACAATAAGAGCAACCTATATCATTACATTCATTTAATTTGCAACAATTTTTACATTTTTTATTACTACATCTCCAATGTTTCTTTTCACAGAGAGAACATGTTGGAATCTTTTTTGTTTTTTTATAATTTTCTTCACGTTCTTTTTTTTCATTTTTAGAAATTGTTTTCTTACAAGAAAATTGTTTGGAATAGGGAATACAATAATAAATTGTTGACATAGTATGTCTAAATCATGTAGCTTTTTCCATCGAATTTTTTTTTGATATAATTTTTTTAGGTAAATTTTTTGACTTCCATAGAAGAAATTGAAGTCTTTTTATAATTTTTATTTATTAATAAGTATAAAAATTATAATAATTTTAAGAAGATCTAGATTCATCTTCATTTTCTAATTTATTTTCTTCTTTAATAATTTTTTGAAATAAAGTTTCATTAATTAAATGAAGATATCCATTATTTGAT